AGGCTCCAAAACTCTGTGGTGGAGACAGAGAAGCAAAATCAGTGTTTTCTGAATCTGGCACTAAGGAGAAGAAAGATATTAGGATCATAAGGTCCTGAATTCAGGTCATAAGGTCAAGGGGAGACTGAAGCTTAGGGCCACCATACCCAGCTAATTTTTGTATTTTTAGTAGAGACAGGGTTTCACCATCCTGTTGGCCAGGATGGTCTCAATCTCTTGACTTTGTGATCTGCCCTCCTCAGCCTCCCAAAGTGCTGGGATTACAGGCATGAGCCACCTTGCCTGGCAAGACTCTATCTTTAAAAAAAATAATACACTTTGGGAGGCTGAGGCGGGTGGATCACGAGGTCAAGAGATCGAGACCATCCTGGTCAACATGGTGAAACCCCGTCTCTACTAATAATACAAAAAATTAGCTGGGCATGGTGGTGCGTGCCTGTAATCCCAGCTACTCGGGAGGCTGAGGCAGGAGAATTGCCTGAACCCAGGAGGCGGAGGTTGCGGTGAGCCGAGATCATGCCATTGCACTCCAGGCTGGGTAACAAGAGCGAAACTCCGTCTCAAAATAATAATAATAATAAATAAGTAATTTAATATCCAGCAACACATGATGTATTAAATAATAAATCACGACATATCCATATAATGGAATATTATGCTGTTCACACAAATGATGCTACTATAAAAGAATATAGTAACAATACTTAGTGATACAGGGAAATGCTTATATTGTTCTATGTACTCCAAAATCCTAATTTGTCGTGTGTGTATAAACATTGTAAGGATATACAGCACACCCCAGAGATACTGCTGGTTTGGTTCTAGACCACTGCAACGAAGCAAGTATCACAATTAAATGAGTAACAGATTTTTTTTGGTTTTCCAGTGAACATATAAGTTATGGGCCGGGTGCGGTGGCTCATGCCTGTAATCCCAGCGCTTTGGGATGCCAAGGCAGGCAGATCACGAGGTCAGGAGTTTGAGAACAGCCTAGCCAACATAGTGAAACCCCATCTCTACTAAAAATTTAAAAATTAGCTGGGTGTGGTGGTGGGTGCTTATAATCCCAGCTACTTGGGAGGCTGAGGCAAGATAATTGCTTGAACCCAGGAGGTAGAGGTTGCAGCGAGCCAAGATTATGCCACTGCATTCCAGCCTGGGTGACAGTGCAAGACTCCATCTCAAAAAAAAAAACAACTTATGATAATACTGTACTATAGGCTATAAAGTGTGCAATAGCATTGTCTATAAAAGGTATATACTTTAATTTAAAAATACTTTACTGCTAAAAAGTGCTAAGGATCACCTGAGCCTTCCGTGAGTCATAGTCTCTTTGCCGGTGGAGGGTCTTGCCTTGATGTTGATGGCTGCTGACTAATCAGGGTGGTGGTTGCTGAAGGCTATGACTAGCAATTTTTAAAAATAAGACAACAATGAAGTTTACTGCTTCTATTGACTCTTCGTTTCATGAAAGATTTTTCTGTGGCTTACAATGCTGTTTGATAGCATTTTCCCTATAGTAGAACTTCTTTCAAAATTGGAGTCAATTGGCTGGGCCCAGGGGCTCATGCCTGTAATCCCAGTGTTTTGGGAGGCCGAGGCGGGCAGACCACCTGAGATAGGAGTTCAAGACCAGCCTGGACAACATGGTGAAACTTAAAAAAAAAAAAACAGGTTTAGTAGAAACCTATCTCTACTAACAATACAAAAATTAGCCAGGTGTGGTGGCACACAACTATAGTCCCAGCTACTCAGGAGGCTGAGACTTGAGAGTTGCTTGATCCCAGGAGGGGGAGGTTGTGATGAGCCGATATCGTGCCATTGCACTCCAGCCTGGGCAACAGAGTGAGACTCTGTGTAAAAAAAAAAAAAAAAAAAAGATTGGAGTCAATCCTCTCCAGTCTTGCTGCTGCTTTATCAACTAAGGTTATATAAAAGTCCAATCCTTTGTTGTAATTTCAACAATGTTCACAGCATCTTCACAGAAGTAGAGTCCATCTCAACAAACCACTTTGTTTGCTGATTTATAAGAAGCAACTCCTCATCAGTTCAAGTTTTATGAGATTGCAGCAATGCACATCTTTAGGCTCCACTTCTAATTCAAGATCTTTTGCTATTTCCAACACAACTGCAGTTACTTTCTCCACTAAAGTCTTGAACCTCTCAAAGTTACCCTGAGAATTAGAATCAACTTCCAAACTCCTTACTTGTCAACGATGATATTTTGGCTTCCTCCCATGAGTCACAAATATTCTTGATAGCATCTAGAATAGTAATTCTTTCCAGAGGTTTCCAATGTACTTTGCTCAGATCCATCAGAAGAATCACTATCTATGGCACCTATAGCCTTACAACACATATTTTTTAAATAATAAGATCTGAGGCCAGGCGTGGTGGCTCATGCCTGTAATCCCAGTGCTTTGGGAGGCTAAGGTGGGAGGATCACTTGAGGCCAGGAGTTCAAGACCAGCCTGACCAACATAGTGAGACCTCATCTCTACAAAAAAAATTTTTTTTAATTAGCTGGGCATGATGGTCAATGCCTGTAGTCTTAGCTACTCTGGAGGCTAAGGCAGGAAGATTGCTTGAGCGCAGGACTTTGAGGTTGCAGTAAGCCATGTGCACCACTGCACTCCAGTCTAGGTGACAGAGTGAGGCTCTGTCTTTAAAAAAAAAACATGACTTGAAAGTCAAAATTACTCCTTGATCCATGGGCTACAGAATGCATGTTCTATAAGCAGGCATGAAAACATTAATCTTCTTGTCATTCTCATCAAAGATCTTAGGTGATTAGGTGCATTGCCAATGAGTAGTAATTTTTTTTGACAAAGGCTCACTCTGTTGCCCAGACTGGAGTGCAGTGGCATGATCTCAGCTCACTGCAACCTCCACTTCCTGGGTTTAAGTGATTCTCATGCCTCAGCCTCCCAAGTAGTTTGGACTACAGGTGCACACCACCATACCCAGCTAATTTTTGTATTTTTAGTAAAGATGGGGTTTCACCATGTTGGCCAGTCTGCTCTCAAACTCCTGACCTCAAGTGATCCACCTGCCTCGGCTTCCCAAGTGCTGGGATTATAGGCATGAGCCACCATGCCCAGCCAATATTTTGAAAGGAATATTTTATTTTCTGAGCAGTAGCTCTCAATTGTGGATTTAAAATATTTAGTAAACCATGGTAGAAACAGATGTGCTGTCATCAGGACTTTGTTGTTCTATATAGAATGCAGGTAGAGTAGATTTAGCATACTTCTTAAGGGCCCTAGAATTTTTGGAATTATAAGTGAGCACTGGCTTCAACTTAAAGTCACCAGAAGCATTAGCCCTTAACAATAGAGTCAGCTTGTCTTTCGAAGCTTAGAAGCCAAGCATTGACTTCTTTACAGCTACAAAAGTCCTAGCTGGCATCTTCTTCCAATATAAGGCTGTTTCTGTACAGGATTCCTGACTTATGGTAAGTAAAGAATGTCACTTTCTAACAGGCCCAGAAGCCCAAAGTCATCTTGGGACCTCAAGAGGAGAGGAATTTGTTCAACTCTTAGATGTTTGAGGATACAAACCCATAGCTGGGCTCATCTTTAAAAAGGTGTTATCTGAGATTCCTTATGGAGCAGAGTTCCATCAAAGCCAATTTAAAAACCTATATGAAAAAAAATTATTCTTGCTGTAGATTGTACAAATAATCAGGCCAAGTATAATAAAGCAAATCAGTCTTACCATGATTTGTCTTTAGTAAAAATGAGAGACAGTAGAGAGAAAAAAAATTTGTGTTTCAAGAACTATGGTACACCTGTTATTAGATTCTAGTCTCATTGGTTGTTTTTGAGGATTTTTCCCCCTGCAATTTAAGCTAACCTTGCTTATTCCTCCGAACCAATCAGTGATCTCTGACTGCAGCTTAGAAGAAACGAGAGGGGTGGGCAACATAATAAATCTGGGTCAATATTCTAATTCTGGGCACATATTGATATCAACTAGCAACCCCACATCAGCATGGTCCCAGCAGTTGCCCAGTTCATGGAAAGCCTTCTTATTTAGTTTACTTGGGATAATTTTACTTATTTTGCTTTACTCTTGTGAAATATATTGCTGCTGTACTCTTTGTGGAGGAATGCAGAATAAGCTTACTCAACGTTTTCCTAAATTGAACACTTATTAATCTTCCAGATACCAGATTTGGTCAGAACTCAAAGTTATGAATGGCCCTCAACATACTATTGCTTTTTGACTGAGCTCCTCTCTATCCTGAATGCAAGAGACCCAGTAGTTAGGTAGGAATATCATTGCCCCTATTCAGCCTGAAGAAGTTGCAGAAGATGAATCTTCATTACCCTTAGGATTAAGGGTTCTCTTATAAAAGAGTAGGCGGGGGTGGGGGGTGTGGGGGGATGTCAGAGAGAGCCAGAGTGACTCCATCTTGCACAGAGGCTAAGTAAAATAAGGCTGAAACCTACTGGGTGGCACTCCCGGATGGTTAGGCATTCTAAGTCACAGGATGAGATAGAAGGTAGGCACAAGATACAGGCCATAAAGACTTTGCTGATTAAACAGTTCCAGTAAAGAAGCCAGTCAAAATCCGCCAAAACCAAGATGGCCACAAGAGTGACCTCTGGTCGTCCTCACTGCTACATTCCCTCCCGCACCATGACAGTTTACAAATGCCATGACAACATCAGGAAGTTGCCCGATATGATCTAAAAAGGGGAGGCATGAATAATCTACCCCTTGTTTAGCATATAATTTTTAAAAAATCATAAAAATGGGCAACCAGCAGCCCCTGGGGCTGCTCTATCTATGGAGTAGCCATTCTTTATTCTTTTCCTTTCTTAATAATTTAATAATACACACACACACACACACACACACACACACACACATAAATATAAGGCTTTTTTATCTACATTAAAAATCTGTTACTCAGTGTAGCCACCTTCACCAATGATCTTAGTTAGAGCTAGAGAACTTAATGCAGCTTCTCCATTTAGGACTTGCTGATTTACCTTGCACATTTATGTTATGGAGACCACTTCTTTCCTTGAACCGCAGGAACCAACATCTGCCAGCTTCAACTTTTTCTCCTGCACCTTCCTCATATCTCTTAGCCTTCATACAATTGAAGAGAGTTGGGGCTTTGCTCTGGATTAGGCTTTGGCTTAAGGGAATGTTGTGGCTGATTTTATCCAGACGACTAAAACATTCTCCCTAACAGTAATAAAGCTGTTTTTCTTTCTTATCATTTGTGTGTTCACTGGAGTAGCTTAGCAAACAAACTTGGCTAAGCTGATTGGTGCAAGGCAGCCTTGCTTTTGGCCTATGTCAGCTTTCAACATGTTCTTCTCACTCAGCTTAATCATTGTTAGCTTTTGATGTTAAATGAGAGATGGGCAACTCTTCCTTTCACTTGGACACTTAAAGGCCATTGTACGGTTATTAATTGGCCTAATTTCAATACTGTTGTGTCTCAGGGAATAGGGAGGCTAGAGGAGAGGGAAAGAGACTAGGAAAACAGCCAGTCGGCGGAGCGGTCAAAGTACACACAACATTGATCAAAATTAAGCCATTTTATATGGGCTTGGTTCATGGTGCCTGGAAACAGTTATAATAGTAACTTCAAAGATCACTGATCACAGATCACCATAAGAAATATAGTAACAATGAAAAGTTTGAGGCCAGGCTCTGTGGCTCACAACTATAATCCTAACACTTTAGGAGGCTGAAGTGGGAGGGTCACTTGAGCCTGGGAGTTCAAGACCAGCTTGGGCAACATGGTGAGACCCCATAGCTACTAAAAATACAAAAAATTAGCCAGGTGTTGGGGTGTGCACCTGTACACCCAGCCACTCAAGAGACTGAGGTAGGAGTTTGGGAAATGGAGGCTGTAGTGAGTCAAGATCATGCCACTGCATTCCAGCCTGGGCAACGAGAGGGAGACCCTGTATATATAAAAAAAAGTGTTTGAAATGTTGCTACAATTACTAAAATGTGACCCAGAGGCATGGGGTGAGTTCATGCTGTTGGAAAATGGTGCTGATAGTCTTGCAGGACATAGGGTTGTCAAAAATCTTCTATTTGTAAAAAACTCAGTATTTGCAAAACGCAGTATTTGCAAAGCACAGTAAAATGAAGTATGCCTATACACCGAACCATTAGCAGTGCTTAGTTCTGGGTAGCAGAATTGTGAATGCTTTTAATTTCTTTCTTTATGCTTTTCTGCATTTTCAAAAATCAAGGTATACCAGAGGACCCTCCCTGCAAATAATCTGTGGTGCTGACTTCTCACAAAGCAGTCATATAAGCCTCTGGAAGACCTTCAGGATTGGAACAGTAAGAAAGTAAAATAAATTGGAAGATGTGGCATGGGTGTGGCGGCTCACACCTGTAATCCCAGCACCCTGGGAGGCCGAGGCAGGTGGATCACTTGAAGTCAGGAGTTCGAGACCAGCCTGGCCAATGTGGTGAAACTCTATCTCTACTAAAAATAGCAAAATTAGCCAGGCATACTGGTGGGCACCTGTAATCCCAGCCACTCGGTAGGCCGAGGCAGGAGAATCGCTTGAACCCCGGAGGTAGAGGTTGCAGTGAGCTAAGATTGTGCCACTGCACTCCAGCCTGGGTGACACAGCAAGACTGTCTCAAAAAAAAAAAAAAAGAAAAGAAAAGAAATAGGAAGACGAGTGGATGTGTGCACACCTCTGCAGAGGAGACAGACAGATACGGGTGTTCCCAGAGCTGCTGTGGGCACACATACTTCTACCCTGTTCTTTTTTTTAGTGTTGCTTTCACTGTGAGTCGCTGGTGATGAAGGCAGGTCCTCGGGAAGATGTCCAGGTTGGGTTTGCTTTCCAGGAGAAACTGCTCTCCTCTGGCGATTCCCAGAAAGTTCAATCTCTGCTGCCCAAGGCCTCCTCTCATAAATCCTTTTACCCTCTCTGCTATTATATGGTTGACCCCTGCTGGGTAGAGGCTACCAAAACTCTGATAAAATTCCTTAATATACACTGAATAGGATATAAAAGGCACGGTGCTCATGCCTGTAATCCCAGCACTTTGGGAGGCTGTGGTGGGTAGATCACCTGAGGTCAGGAGTTCAAGACCAGCCTGGCCAACATGGTGAAACCCTGCCTCTACTAAAAATACAAAAATTAGCCAGGTGTGGTGGTGTGGTTCTGTAATCCCAGCTACTCCAGAGGCTGAGGTAGGAGAATCACTTGAACCTGGGAAGCAGAGGTTGCAGTGAACTGAGACTGTGCCACTGCACTCCAGCCTGGGCCACCACAGAGCAAGACTCACTCTCAAAAAAAAAAAAAAAAAAAAAAAAAAAAAAAAAAAGTGTGGCCAGGCACGGTGGCTCATGCCTGTAATCCCAGCACTTTGGGAGGCTGAGGTGGGCGGATCACGAGGTCAAGAGATTGAGACCATCGTGGCCAACATGGTGAAACCCCGTCTCTACTAAAAGTACAAAAAATTAGCCGGGCGTGGTGTAGCGTGCCTGTAGTCCCAGCTACTCGGGATACTAAGGCAGGAGAATTGCTTGAAACCGGAAAACAGAAGTTGCAGTGAGCCAGGATCACACCACTGCACTCCAGCCTTGCGATAGAGCCAGACTGTCTCAAAAAAAAAAAAAAAAAATGTGTGGTTGCAGTTTGCCCTAAGTGGGCCCATGTTGCCTGGGCGTTCAGGAGCTAAAGTTAGAAAAGGCTTTGAAGTGTCCAAAGAGGAGAGAGGGAGGTCACTCGCAGCTCAACAGCTTCACCCTCTGGCTTTGATGGTCCTTGGCTCCGTGGTGCTCAACGTCTGGATGAGTCTCAGGGAGTGAAAGCCCAATCCACAGCCCACCTGTCTGTATTTCTCAGTCTCCTTTGAGGTTCTCAGAACTCAAGGAGAGCTCCCTTAGAAAATACGACTGCAGTAGTGTAATTGAAATATCAAAAACCCTTGTTATTAAAAAACCCGAAATCTTTATTATGTCACATGTAATAAAATATAAATGTGCTAAGTTGGCTCAAATAGTTTGAACCACATAATATTAAATAAGCAAAGGGGAAAAAAGAAACTTAAAAATAATTTTTTTTGATGGGGTCTCACTCTGTTGCCCAGACTGGTCTTAAACTCCTGGCCTCAAGCAATCCTCCTGTCTAGGCCTCCAAAAGTGCTGAGATTACAGGCCCAAGCTACTAGGCCCAGCCAAGAAACTATTTAAGTACTAAAAGTTTTGCGGTCTTTGCTTTGGCAGCTCATGCACTAAGAACTAAAAGTTTTGTGATATACTTTCTTAAATTGATCATTCTATTTTAGTCTTTCTACCTGATTATAAGAATTTGGAACAGAGTCTCATAAACGTGACTTTGGCTCGGTGCAGTGCCTCATGCCTGTAATCCCACCTTTTGGGAAGGTGAGGCAGGAGGATCGATCACTTGAGTCCAGGAGTTTGATACTAGTCTGGGCAACATAGTGAGACCCTGAATCTACAAAAAATAAAATTAGGCATGTGTGATGATATGTGCCTGCAGTCTTAGCTACTTAGGAGGCTGAGGCAGGAGGACCCCTTGAGCCCAGGAATTGAGGCTGCAGTGAGCTGATTGTCTCACTGCACTCCACTCTAGGTGACAGAGTGAGACTCTGTCTTTCTTAAAAAAAAAAAATTAACATGACTTCATTGCTCATAAAACGTTGTGATGAAGAGTCACAATATTTTGAGTCATTCTTCTCTTCACTACATTTTTGCAGAGGTATAGTGGAGGAGAATAAAAAATGGCCCAAACCAAGCCTTTTAGAGCCTCCTGAAGCACTCAGCTTATTTTCTGTCTTGTCCCTTTAAAGGAGAGACATGGCTGGTTCCATCATTCTCTCTCTATTTCAGTGTCACTACACACTTCCACCATTTCCACTGGTCACCTGGAATTGTAACTACAGTATTTGTTCCTGTATTTTTTTTTTTCTGAGACAGAGTCTCGCTCTGTCACCCAGGCTGGATGCAGTGGTGTGATCTCAGTTCACTGCAATCCACCTCCTGGGTTCAAGTGATTCTCCTGCTTCAGCCTCCTGAGTAGCTGGGATTACAGGCACACACCACCATGCCCGGCAATTTTTGTATTTTTAGTGGAGACAGGGTTTCACCATTTGGCCAGGGTGGTCCCAAACACCTGGCCTCAAGTGACCAGCCCACCTTGGCCCCCCAAGGTGCTGGGATTACAGGCATGAGCCACCGTGCCTGGCCTGTTTCTGTATTTGTATCTGAATAGTATTTGTATCTGAGCAGTCACTCGTTCCTCTTGAAGTCTAGGATCACTTCAGAACAGATAGAATAATGTAAATATGTGAGCCGGCAATTTGGAAATAACATTCCACAGAGACAATCTTGTCCCTCCCCAGAGCCCTGGCTGTACATATGCATAAAAAGGAACACCTTAGTTAAAGGAATCCTTCCATCCCCATGCATCTGAATAAATAGATGAAATGAATTTTCAACTGAGATTTTACCACGCTCATTGCAAGCTCTTTGCCCTCATTAAATTATCAAGAAAATACAAGTCAATTTATTATGGGTAATCACATCATTCCCTGTAGCACTTCACCCAAAGAAACCTAGCCCAATATGGTAACATCAGAACAATTCTTCACCTCCTATCTTCCTTTGAAAGACAAAAGAAAACGCAGAACCATTCTGCTTCTCTCTGGGAAGGAAGGCAAAGCATTTCCCAAGGTCCTCAGAACACCATCTGGCTGCAGTCTTTCCTTTTAGGGACCTGGTGTTTTCTGGCTCAGGGACAAAGCACATTTATTTCAGATGGATCAACACTGTCACCCAGCGGGCAGACAGCTAGGCAGGCTGAGGCCTTAGCCTCGCTCCTGGCTTGATAGCCGGATACAGCCAGCCAGTATTTGAATAGGAACCTGTTTGTTTCAGGTGATTAGGATTAATTGTTAATATTCTCTTACAGGGAGCTGGGACAACCTCAGCTGACAAACCTTTGATTTGCATGTCATGGGTGAGTGAAACTTAAGGAAGATATATATTTTCATTGTGCTGATGCTTTTTTTAAAGCTACCAGGGAATTTATAGGTAGCACAACCAAGCACGTCTGTCAAGACTCTCAGAATCACATAGGCTTGAAGGAGCAAGGTGGTATTTGGTCACCTGTCGGGTACTGTGGGAAGACTCCTCTTCCACAAAATAAGACCACTTGTTCATTGTTCATAGTGACAGTGAT